CAGTAGGAGCCTACCACCACCCTGAATGGAGCAAATGAGTAATGAGTGATGTCCTTTGGGTTTGTGTTTTGGGTGGATGCATTATTAGGGTTCTGTGACTCAAAATGTTTAGTTCTACCTTTTGTCATCATCATGTGGTATTCTCAGAAGTGGGCGACAGTAGCTCAGTTGGTAGTGTTTATCCACTGACCCACAGGATTGTCGAAATGATTCCAGCTCCCACAGATGAATGCTGTCGTTGTGTCCTTGGGCAAGACACTTAAAACCCCTTACCTCCAGTGTTTTGTGTACACTGCTGTGTGAAAGTGTGTGTTCCTTGATGGTTTTGAGTGCCTTGAAGGTGGAAAAGCATATATAAAAATGTGACCATTTAACATTACTGTCATCATGATGTGATAAGTGCTCCTCTGTATTTTTAAAGCTGCCCTTTTGTCCTTTTATTGTCTGTTGGTGATCATGGTGTTTTGTTTGCCCAGAAATCTTGACTATATGCGCTAAGGCTAAAATGCGAAGTTCCCAAAGCCTGAATAATGCATAGGACCTTTAGACTTGACCTCACACGGCCTGTGTAAACATATATGCATACAGAGATTGTTTTGGGCTTGTGAAAATAACTATGTGCTATTTTGGACAGAGAAAACCATTTGAATATTGCGGATGTGTGATATAGAGTCTGGCTCCATTAGGCAGGCGCTCCCCTGAGTGTATCTCAGTGAACACAACAATGCCCCCGTCAGCTGCCCTGTGAAAAGTGTCACAGAAGTAACAGTGGCACAGCTCAGGTCACACACAGGGCACCCTCATTATCCTGTGGTGCAGCCTCGTGTTGTGTCATTTGGCAAGACACTTACATCCAATGTTTACTTCAGTGAAAGCAAAAGTGTTACGTTGTTTATTCTCTTTTGCAGAAATGTACTGCAGTCTTCTGTCAAATACGATAGTAAGATTGCAGCTTACATGTGTTTATTTCTTCTTACATTGACATTTGAAAGGAACATATGATGTAAAATGGACATTTATTAACTTTTAAGTATGTTATGCTTATCATTAGTTTACTCAAAGTTGTATTTTGACTGATTCATGCATGTTTGAGTTATCCTGTATTGTTCTGCCTTTGACGTTTGCTCAGAAAAAAAATTCAGGCCCTTCCTCAAATCATTCCTCATGTTCAATTTCAAGTAGATAGAACTAAGATGAATTTCTTCAAAAATAAAAAGGTTGGTTTAAAGGTTTATTTTTTCATGCCATACATAAAATACAATATTCTGATGGCTGATTTGTGCAAGGAGAAGTTGACAAAGAGGCAAAGGTGTAAGTAAGTTGTCCCTCAAAGACCTCTCTCTCATCTGAATGGTCACTACCGAAACCCCAGCACGTTCGTCATGAAGTAGTGCTAGTGCAGTCTCTGCAGCTTGTAGGGGTGGCACAGTACATGAAAAAAAATAACAAACCGTTCAGTTCACTTGTCACGGGTCGGGGACGTGTGCATACCACACGGTCTCCACGGTTCCCGTCTTGACCTGTTTCGCTTTGGCGCAGAAGAAGAGGTGTTGAGGGTGTGTGCTGCGCATCACGTGTAGAAATGGCAAGTAGGAGAGAAGAGGGCCGCCTGGAGATGGAGGATGCGCCCGTGTCGTTACCTCACAAAACCACAGCCGCGCGTCAATGCAAAGGCAGCTCCACCGACAGCTGCTTCAAGACGTACACGCGCAGCACTGGCTCTGTGTTTGTCAGTGGGAAAGCTTGACGGGGCGCATTTAGCTGCTTGAATCAGATCTACAGTGAAACTAACAGCAGAACAGGCTTGTATTTACCTTCTGTACAGTCTGACCATGGCAAACGCCAGGATTTCACACCGTAGTGCTGATGGTTAACACACAAATACAACCAAAGATTTATGCTCTCTGTGTATTTGATGGGGATAAGTGCCTAAGCTCGGGTAGAGCATCAAAAAAGAGGATGGATACTATTTTCTGAAATCTAGGCGCGCAGGACGTGGTAAAATTTTTTCACCAAAGCACAACAGCTGCCTATGTCCAATAATAATGTGCTTAAAGTCAAGTCAAATTCAATTTGTGCATGATTACATTACTAACTAATATATATATTTTTTATATTTTTTTAATGCTGTATCCTAAATTGTGGATAATTAAGCTAACATAGCATATGATGAAGTATATTTCTGGAGATTAAAGATTAAAAAGAAAAAATGACAACAAGAATCATACAGAACCGAAAACCGTGATCTTAAACCGCAATACGACCCGAACCATGAATTTTGTGAACCGTGCCACCCCTAGCAGCTTGGTGAGTGAATTCTGGAGGTTCTGCACCTCCAGAATCCAACAACACCACGAATTTCAAATAGATGGTGACAACATCACACAAGACTGTCCCGATTACAAGCAAGTGTTTCGGGTTACAAACACCAGGAGTGTGCGGAGTTTGAAGTGTGAATACCTGTTAGACCAATCACACTGTTTCTTATACCTCCAGACTTTGCCCCTTCTTCCCCCTCCCTCTCCACTTTAGTCCTCCAGGTCCTGTCCAGTTTAGCAGCTCTATTTGAAATCAGGTTTTTGGGAGAGTTTAGGTGTTTAGTCCCATTTTAAGGCGCTGGCAACCCAGGTTCAGCTGTGATTGCAGTACCTACATCCAGGGCTACATACAGTTCCTTTAATAAGCATTCATACCAACTTCAAGTATGAAAAGATTCATACCAACTTCAAGTGAAATATTTATGGATTACATCCCATCCCCTTGTTGTCAAAGCTTGTATTTTGTTTGTGTTTTTTTAGCCATAATATAACCCTCAAAGTCTTACTGTTTGTGAATAGCTGTCTCCCTGTTGGATCAATGGAGCCCGCTTGTAGCCGTCTATCATTGCCTCTTCCAGTTTTGCTCTATGACATAAGTCCCTGTTATGGCTCTGGGTGGAGTCCAAACCCCTCAGCTTACCACCAGAGCACCCCCTGTTATCATGTAGGCCCCCTCTTTATCCCTCCAGGTGCAAAGGTCAAAGGTCGTGGACTGAAATAGCCAGAGGAGATGAGAGCGACGTGCGGGTGTGCGGACATGAGTCAGCGAGGGTTAGATCTGTGGACAGCTGCTCGGGGGTTACACGAGTGCTGTGGAGCTAGTGTCCCCATTGGTCTGTTTATATTCAATAATATAATGCCTAGTAGTGCTGTCACAATACTAAAATGTCAAATTCAATTTTGATAATAAAAATAAAAAATAATAAAAAATAGAATGTGATTTTCAACATTAATCTTTCTACGTTCTTTTCTATTCCCATGGGGCCTCTGTGTAATTCCTCAGTGGTCCAGGTAGGTTTGATAGGAGTCCATGGGTGTATACAAGTCTATGTGCTCTTATACTTGTTCTGATACAGCTCAAGATCATTCTAAAACTATTCAGGGAAGATTCACTTCTGTCCTGTGAATGTTTTTAGTATCAATATTTGTTTAAATTAGTACCTATTTTTGATACTAGTTTTATTATCAATTAGAATTAGTTACAGAATATTGTTGCTTAAATACTTTGAAATACATTTTGCATTTTGTCTTGAAATACATTTTATTGTGACCAAGATCCCCCTCTCCACAAATCTTCAATTTGATTTAATTTTAACAAAATTGACTCTTGTATCTTTGTTCTAATGTTGTTACCTCCTCTAAAACACACCTGGAATTGTGCTTTGTTTCATTCACACATGTTTGCGTAATCCTTTATTAGTCTGTCTACATCTCCAAATCTCAAAATGCTCTGTTCCACCCTGTGATGTCATGAAGTGGTAGTTTTTAAGTTAACAGCTTCTTTTTACCATTAGTCCAGTAGAGAATGACAATTCCAGGGCTGAAATCATTCATCTGGTGAAGGCGCATGGAGTTTAAAAACACAGTGGAGTACTTTCTGTATTACCACATGACATCACAATCTCTCTGTTTGAGAGAAGAACTCGACCTAAATATGCAGAGTTTGTGTGTTGTGTGTGAATGAAACAAAGCACAACTCTAGGTCTGTTTGTGACGAGGATAAAACATCATAACATAGATCAGAAAATAGTGTCATATGGGCCCTTTAAGATGCTTCGTTGCACACTTTCCTTCAGGCATTACCATCTATAATGTGTATGCCTCCCCTTTAATTACTAGTGATGTCAACCTGCCAATACTTTGCTGTCCCTCCATAAAATGGACCCTATTCTCAGGTAGCTTTTTAGGTTAAAAGGCTCTTTAATCACCGCCGTATTGACTGTCCCCATCTGATTGATTATTTCATGGAAAACTTTAAACACTCATGTGTTCAGCTTTTATCCAAAAAGACATTGACTTATGGTAATTCCCTTTGTGCACTGACCTGTGATTTTAAAGCCCGCCATGTAAGGTAACTGGAACTGGGAAGGATTAGCCTCAATTTATGCTACGCTTTTAGAATTTTAAACAGTAATTAAACATGCTATATTATACAAAATGAACTCTTGTGAGCTTTAAAGCCATATTTTAATGTTGTTACCTCCTCAAAAACATACCTGGAGGTCTGTTTTGTTTCATTCACATGTGTTAATAATACTTTATCAATAGTCTGTCTACATCTCTAAAGCTCAAATAGCTCTGGTCCACCTTGTGATGTCATGTAACAGCTGCTTTTTACCTTTAGTTCAAGAAATTAGCAATTCCAGGGCTGAAATCATCCAAATGATTCTAGTGAAGGTGTATGGGGTTTAAAAACACAGTCGAGCACTTACTGTATTACCACATGACATCACAAGGTGGTTTCTGTTGTGTTTTTGTAGTGTGTTTCTGTGAGTGTTTTCTGTTTGAGAAAAGAACTAAAGAACCTAAATATGCAGGGTTTGTGTGTTAAACATGTGCAAATGAAACAAAACACAACTCCAGGTCTGTTTGTGATGAGGAAACAACATTAGAACATAGAGTAATATGAGCCCTTTAATAGAAAATAAGTTGAATATAAGTGTGTTTTGTGTCTCCTCACAGATCACCCCAGGGAGCAAAGCAGCCATGGGAAACCTCATTCAGGGGGACGTAATTGTGGCCATAGATGGAGTGAGCACTGATGGCATGACTCACCTGGAGGCTCAGAACAAGATCAAGATGGCCAACTACAACCTGGCGCTCACCATGTCCAAGTGAGTGCCTGTTTTATGAAGTATGATATAATGCTACACAAAATTAAGATAAAGGATCATTTTTAAACCACATTATATATTTAAAATGGTAATAAACTTCTAAATCAGTAGCAATAAAAAAGAAGTATAGTATAGTAGTAGCTTATTTTCACATACTACAGTAATGGTGCAAATAACAGTGCAAATACCGGCTTGTCAAAGCCTGATCCCATGAGATCTCAGAAGCTAAGCAGGGCTGGGCCTGGTTAGTACTTGGATGGGAGACCACTGGGAATTCCAGGTGCCACAGTGGGGCGCCAGTTGCAAAAACTGTCATTGTGTCCTTAGGCAAGACACTTCACCCACATTGCCTAGTATGAAAGTTGTGTGTGAGAGCTGGTGGTGGTTGGAGGGGTGGATGGTGCAGATTGGCAGCCTTGCTTCTGTCAGTCTGCCCCAGGGCAGCTGTGGCTACAGTAGTAGCTTACCACCAGAGTGTTGAGTGAAAGAATAATGAACTTTGAGTGTCTTGAAAGGCGCTATATAAATGCATTGATTAATTAATTAATTAAAAATGAAAAGGTACTCAAACTCATATAGTAACTCACTTCATCCATTGATCCAGAGATTGGTTTAATTAAGCTTATCCCATAGACTGTATATATAAATGGACATGGCTGACCCGCTAGCCGCCACGTTCCAAATAGGAAGTTAGCATGGGCGCACTTCTTGCTCCATTGACTCTGGCTCCAATTCACTTTGTATTGAAAAAATCATTTTGGTCTTGAAATTATACATTACCTTCAACAGCCTCTTTCCTGACTGGCTCTTTGGTTGCTATGATACTCACCCCCTTAACTTCTCAATGAGCCTCATTTGACTGCAGTGGTGTTAATAATATAATAATAATAATACTTGGCTTCAAAAAAGCAGTTGTTTTTAGCGCTTAACCTCAGATGTAAACATGTAGTGACAGGACGGCGGGCAGTGTTTTTCTGACATTGCGGTTTCTCGCTTTGAGCTCTGTGCTGTGTCTTACTCTCTCTCGTGTCCTCCTCCTTCTCCCCCTCCTCATCCTCTCTGTCCCAGTCTCCTCCTGCTTCTCTGGGCCTGTGTGAGAGCCGACAGCTGCCTCTCAGTCTGTGTGGGGTGAGGAGGTGGTGGCTGATGGGCTTGTGAGCACAAAGGGCCAGAGTAATACAGATGCCACAAAGAGTCAGAGTATTAATAGAACCAGCCAGTTATATTTTCCCAAAATGAACTTCAGAGCTGTGTGAACACCATAAACAATGACATTTTACAGTTACATTTCATTTAAAGGTCCTATATTACACAAAATTGACTCTTGTGATCTTAAAGCCATGTTATGATGTTGGTACCTCCTCAAAAATATGCATGAAGTTGGGTTTTGTTTCATTCACACATGTTTGACCCTTTATTATTAGTCTGTCTACATCTCCAAATCTCCAAATCCTCTGTTCCTTCTTGTGATATCATGAAGTAGTAGTTTTTAAGTTAACAGCTCCTTTTACCTTTGGTTCAGTAGAGAATGGCAATTCCAGGGCAAAAATCATCCAAATGATTCTGGTGGAAGCGTGTGGAATTTAAAAACACAGTGGAGCACTTCCTGTACTTCTGAAGATATTCCTCACTTATGCATTAAGGATTTGATACTTATTCCAAATATTGAGTTTGATTCCAATACGGCAATGATAATAAAAAGCACAGTAGACTGGAATATTCAGCATTATATCTTTTATATATCTGTGTAAATCCTCAGTCGTGCAGTTAGGTTCTGGTCTATGGGCATATACTAGTCTTTGTTATACTAGTTTTAGTTTCGATATATATCTGACTTTCGATACAGTCCTAATTTCCATTGTATCTTCAATGAGGCTGTAAAATACTCTGAGCTGTTTTCAGTTCTTATCTGTGTTCTGTCTTTGCTCTCAGGCTCCTCTGTTGTTGTCTATAATGAAGATGATTGGGATCACTGCTTATTTCTGAACCTGAACCACTGCTTATTTCTGAACCTTTACAACAGAGACTCTTTTTTTTGTGGTCTTAGTAGAACAGGAGACGTGACTATTGACTCACGTCTGATTGGTGTCCTTGAATGATCACAGCACAATTTTCTCTTTATTCTGACCTAGACACTCAAAACTTTTTAATATTTGTATTTATTACCACATGCATTTCTGATGGTTATTTAAAACATTCGAACCTGTAAAGTGATCACAAACAGACAAGCATTTTCTGCATAATAAATCATTTGTTATAACTTTTTTTTTATTCTGCTCTTGAGTGCTAATTTTTTTCATTTTGTGTATTTATTTATGATTTGCTGTAGATATGCAAGCTCATCCTAAGGGGGTTTTAAGTAGGTAGCAGTTTTCGAGTTCTGATAATGTTTTCGATACTATGGCTTTAAATATCTGCCAATACCAGTGCAATTAATTTCCTTAATAACACAAAACTGATCCAAATATGTTATGGAGCTGTTATCTGTTATCCCTCAAGTAACTGCACACCAACTCTGCATAAAAAAATCTAAACATTATGAGACTTTCTGGTGCCAAAATCTTATTACATCAGTTTATATTTCCACCCAAGATGTCGACTGAACTGATATTCGGAAGCCGATATCCAATCCATCAGATTTTTTGGTTCATTTCTAGTTTTAAGATGATGGTCTATGTATAAGAAGTATTCTGTATAGTCTTGTTTGTACAGAGATCCCAGTTACCCCATCTGACAGCTAAGATAGAGAAAGTAGAAGATTGGATAGCAGCCATAGACTGTATATAGAACTGGACTGAGGGAGCGTGACATCACCCACAGTTCAGCATCTGCCAAATGAAGCCAATCGAGGCCAGCAGTTATACCGGCTAATCTGCAGCCATGGACCATACTTGGAAATCGCTTAGCAATGAGGCACAATAGCTGTCAATCAAACCTGTTGCAAACACTAACAGGAGTGACCTTTGGAAAAAAAAGCACCTGATTGGCCTGGATTGATGAGTGTCAGAGCAGCAGTTACAGAGAGAGGAGCCATCATTTATCAATTAGTACTTTGCTAGTGTGACCAGATTTTCAAAATTCAAAACTGGATCACCAATCATCCTGGGTTGGGGTGATTGGTATAAATAAAATTGTGGAAAGACTGTGTAACATTGTCCATTCTCAGCTCACTTGTGGGTCAGTTCTGGGTGACTTCTTTTGGTGCATTTTTTGCCTTATGGTAATTGTCAAGCTTTGTTTTCTGTATTTTAGTTAAACAAATGACAATTTATGCCTCTCCTCACTGTTTGGCGGGTATCAGGTTGGTCCAAAATCGGGACACCTGGGACATTTCTTGTATAAAACTGGGACAAATCAATGTTTTTTGGATAAATCTGCTGGGACAGGGCACACAGGGCTCAACACTGGGACTGACACGGGTAAAGAGAGACGCCTGGTCACCCTATACTTTGCAGTTACATCACATTGGGGTGTTCTACATGTATCACTAATGATGGAATGTTTAGAAGTTTCCATGGTGACACTGCACACACTGAAAACACTGTCAAAAAAGTTTGAAAACACAAGAAACAATACAAAATGGATTTAAATATTTTCAGGAGCCTATGATCAATATGAGCATTCGTGGTCCTGTTTAGTAATAGATGAGAGTGACTAACTGAAACACTGTTGGCTTGTGACTGTAATGTTATGTGTGAGAGACTTGTTTAATAACACAAATCAGCTCACCTGTTGTAGCTCCAATCAAGTCAGCACTTTCTGTTCAGATAGTGTTAACATAAAGCTCGGATTAAAGTCTAACTTAAGCCACAGAGCTTCAGACAGAGGAGTGCTTTCAGTTAGCTTCACACCCCCAGGGAATGTTGATGACATCAGCTGCAAAGTATCAATTGAAGTTCATTAGAAGGCTCAGATGGAAACACTTTGTTCTAGGTGTGGAAGAAAAAATCAGTTCAGTGATATATATACTTCATTGGACAATTCTCAAATCAATTTAAAATGTATCCAAATACATTTTTATATATTTTTTTTATATTTTTCACAAAAAATCATTATTTACATTCACTGTTCTGATGATTTAAACATTTGTATATATTATATTTCAAACAATTGTCTTCTCATGAAGGTGTGGTTGACTGCATTAACAGAAGGCAAGGCAAGGCAAGATTATTTGTATAGCACAATTCGTACACAAATTCGTAATTCAAAGTGCTTTACAGAATAAGGAATACATTCAAATCACAATAAAAACAAATCAAAACATAAATAATCATCACAAAATTAAAGATTAAAATTAAAAAAGAGAGAGAGAGAGAGACATACATAAATTAGAGAGAAGAGTGCGGAATGAAATCCTTTTAGTCATATGCACAGTGAAACAGAACCGTTTTGAGCCTGGATTTAAACAGCGTCAAAAAAGAGGCCTGTCTCACATGTTCAGGAAGACTGTTCCAGGTTTTAGCTGAGTGAACCTGAAACGCTGACTCCCCGTGTTTAGTCCTGAGTCTGGGCACCAGCAGGAGGCCGGTCCCTGAGGTCCTCAGAGTGTGAGATGGTTCATATGGCACTAACATGTCAGAGATGTACTTTGGTGCTCAGTCATGGAGAGACTTGTACACAAGCAGAGCTGCTTTAAAGTCTATTCTCTGAGCCACAGGAAGCCAGTGCAGAGACCTGAGCACAGGACTTATGTTCTGGATGTAACAGAAGTAATTATTGATAAATTGCAATACATCGTCCTTTGTTTTATCGCATCGGGATATATCAGGATATATAGAATCATGGCATGCATATCATGATATGTATTGTGTCATCAGACTCAAGGCAATGCACACCCCTACTTTGTTTCCCATACTGACTTTCTTAGGTAATTCCATCTGTATAGCAACTGATCCAAAATTGTTTTTTGTTTCTCTCCCTCTCTCTCTCTCCAGGTCCAAGCGTCCTGTTCAGTTGGCTGCACCGAGGATGGACTCTATTTCCCTGATTCCTCACCAACAGGTATCTCCCTTCAACCCAATACATTCACATACAAAAATACTTTAATAAGAAATTTATAATAATAATAACTGCAAGCCTCGATTAGCTTCATTTGACTGGAACTGAACACCGTGGATGACCTCACACTTCCTTAGTCCACTTCTTTATACAGCATGACTACAACATTGTAATCTACCCATAGTGGGACAACTAAAAGTTTATCTTATGTACATATCAAAATGTCAAAAAAGAATAAACAATTTCAAGACAATTTCATTTTCACATACATATTTCAAAGCCTTTATTTGGTTAAAAATGTATTGTGTAATGTATTTAATCTAAATCTCTAGACAACTTTTAAAATAATCATAAAATATAAAGTTGCTGCTCTAAGCTATTATATTATCCTGATCTTTTTCGCTGCCCTGTCTCCAGGTTTGTATTTATTTAATTATTACTTACTGTATTCACCATTGCCAGTGGAGTTTTATTACCTCCTGGCAAAAGCAACCCAGTTTATATTTGATAGTCCCCTAATAGACACATCCTGCTCGGAGTCCAGCAGGGCAGCTCAGGGCAGATTTATGTGGACTGGGGTAACGTTATAAGGCTATTTGTATCCCAAGGCTTATCCAAAGTGTGACAACTTCTCTGATCTTTTTACAAACTGGATTAACACCATCAACATTCGTCATTTGTGGTTTTTACAGTGAAAAACTACAAAATAACGGGTGACTATATTAAACAGGAGTATTTGTTGAGACCCGGGATTATAAAGGGAAAGTACCTAAAGCCTTGTCTGAAGTGGGTGATACTTGATAAAGGATCTCATTTCAAGTTAGCGAGCAAGAGGGGCACTGATGTCTGCTTTCAGGAATTGACACCGCACAATGTAAAAACCACACACTGCTAAATGTGTAACCAAGCTGTAATGTTCAAAAACCAAACTATATTTCATCCATGCATATTTGAGAAATTAAACAAACGCAGATACTGTTACCTTACGAAACTTTTCTTGTGGAGGTTTTATACGTTGTTGTTTCTGTGGACATATTATTGCTTTCTATTGCTCAAAAATACAATAATTCCTTCTGTGAATAAGGTCGACTCTCCGCAGATCTAAATTGTAATGTTTTATAGCTTTAACCGGCTTGTCTCCCTCGTAAGAGATAGTTTTCATTTATACTGTGGAATATTCCAGATCATGCATTAACATTTCCATGGAGACAAGCAGGTGGCAGACCATCCACTAGAAATGTTGACCAGTGCAGATTCTAGTAGCTAGTCTGCCAGTTGGCCATTGCAACATTTTGTGTTTGTCACTGTCGTATACCAACGAAGATTTAAAGTCCAAAGCCACAGACACACAACGCTGTCATTAGGGCAGTCCAGCGTGATGTCACATAGTACCTGAAACTGCAGATGGCCATTGGATTCAAGGCTAAAATGACTAAGAACAGTAGATAATACAAGTAAAACCCCATTTTGTTGGGTTTCAGATGACATCACATATTGTATAGACCAAAATAATGAAATACAGGTGGGGGCAGGATAAATTAATATTGTTAAAATGCAAAATGATGTTGGGTTTAGTCAGTGAGTTAGTCAAGAGACAGTTTTTCCTCTTGATTACATTGTACTTTGTGATGAAATCCTAATGGTAAATTCACAAATGTTGAACCTGATATTTTCAATTACTGACTAAACCCAAGACGTTTTAGCTGCCCCCCATCTGTATTAATTAATTTTGGCCTATAGAATGTTGTCATCTGAAACCCAGCAATACGCACATGTAGAGTTTAGTTCCGCTTTAAGTCTTGAATAGGGGTTATAACACATGACCTGTCCTCCCTGAAGCCTGAGTCTCCGCAGCTGAATGGGCGTGGCTCCGGCCCCACAGACGCCGAGTCCCCCGGCAAAAGGAGCCCGTCCCTGAAGAGACAGTATAACACCCCCATCGGCCTCTACTCTGAATCCACGCTCAGGGAGATGGCTGCTAGACAGGCTGGGTATGTGCTGTGTAATGTGTACTGGAGCAGAGGAGGCAACCAGAACATTCAAAGTCCAGCCCAAAAGTTGTAAAAAAGCACACAAGGAGATGACTTTTTCCTGGGTTGACATATTCTTTTCCACAGAAGGGAGCTTTGGAGACTACGTTACCCAGCATGCCTCTGGGGTAGCCTCGGTTTACACTCTGATTAGGTTACTGTGTCATTGAGGAAGCCCCGCACCTGTTAGCTCTTTTGGATAGCGCTAAAGGTTAAAGGTGAAAGAATATTATAACACACACGGATAACACTTGAGAAACCAAGAATCAAATAAAAAAAGTGCCAAGTATTAGCACAAAATACCACAGGAGTTCTTAAGGTGGTATAGCTGTAATTTATTTGTCTAGTTTTTTTTTAAATACAGTTATTGTCAAATATTTATAAATGCAGATGGCTATAGAGTCTGCCATAATTTCTACAGAATTGCTATAATAATATAAGAATTTAATAAATGCTTATGACAGGATTTTACAATTGTCAAATTTGTGAAAAATATTTTGAAAATTACAGGAAGTAGAGAGTTATTTTAGAGAATTCCATATTGAAGACATCACATTGGGAGAACTCTATCCAAAATCAATCAATCAATCAAGCTTTATTTTTCAGACTCCAATGGGATAGAACAGGGGTGTCAAACTCAAATTTACAGAGGGCCAAAATTAAAAACTGGGACTAAGTCGTGGGCCAAACTAAATATTCATTGAAAAATTTCAACAATATCTGCATGTTTTCTCTTCTTTCAAGATATGTAATGTTAAACCTTTTGTTATTAAAATAAATGTTTAATAATAGTTTTACTTAAACACTGAATCCAGAACAAGCAGAATATAAAATAATAATGACATTTTAAATAAATAATGTCTATATCTGTATATATCTAAAAATATATGTCCATAGTCTATCTGTAGCCAGTGGGGCAGCTCTTATACATATTTGATATGATCTCACAGGCCAAATATAATTATATCGCGGGCCAAATTTGGCCCCCAGGCCTGAGTTTGTCTGATAAAGAACATTTAAAAAACAGACAAAAGACAAACAAAACACTAATAATGGTTTATAGTTCATATAAGGAGTTCCTCCTGTTACTCCAGAGTGTGGAAGTAAACCTGACACTGCTCTGCTAATGCATTATTAAAGCATTTATAATTTCATTCTGTGAGTCTTGCAGGCGCTTCATAAATTTGTATACAATGTTTTTGATTTCATTGAATGTAGGGACATTATTCTGCACAAACAGCAAACTGGTTCATCGAGGGACTTTCATCAGGATACGAAGTGCATTGTTATAGGCAACCTGCAACTTCTAAAATTGAATTTTGCTGTAAGTGCACCTCAAATGGGCAGTATAGACTGGTGTATAGAGCTATTTTCACATTGCTTGTACACATATGAAATTTCCATGCCAACATACTTGCTTCTGCGTACAGTTTGCAGTACTGCCTCTGAATGTCATCATCATCCCTGATCCCTGAGTTTAAGGCTTAATTTACACAACAAAATACTTTAAACAAAATAAAGGTGTTTTCTTATATTTTTATTATCATCATTTCTGTCTCATTAGTTGAGTTTTGGCCCAGTGTAGGACATGGTTTCTAGATAAAATTCCCTAGTGTGGTGTCTTGATTTCAAACCAAGAAGTAAAATTTGAAACCTAAAAAAATGCCAGTCTGCGAATAAAAAAAATTAAAAAAGTGAAATGTGTAGTCCAGCCTGTCATAAGCACATTAAACTACATTGGTAATTTTTTTCTCTCGACAAATTTTAAAACCACTTTTTTTCTAATGGCAAAAGAGTGTCCCCATTTACACCCAGTGGTCACTTTGACAATCTGTAGAGGAAATTATTGGAAAACATTTGTTTTTGTCTGTGAGCTGTAACCTTTGACCTTTCCTCTTTTCCAGCATTGTCCTATAATAACCTATTTCTTCGTCATTATCACCCTGACCTCAAACTAACTGACACATATTTCTTTGTCGATTCTCTCTCTCCTGGTGCTGTTTCTTGGAAGATGTTCGCCCCTCCTCCTCCTCCTCAGAAGTCAGTATCAGGCTGGATGTGATCGTGGGATTAGACTGAGCATGTGTGATTTGGAGTTTGGTGATCGGTTTGGCATGGTTTTGATTTAAAGGTGCATTGCGCAACTTTTCTGTTGGAGGGTCTGCTACCTGCTTGTATCCAGAGATGTTACTGCTTTAATTAGAATGTTCCATGGTATGACATTAAACATATCCATCTAGTGTTTATTCATTACAGGTGTTTCTATCATTCCTTCTGTGAATAGGAGAGAGATCTGAATTGTAGCGTAATGTAGCGTAGTGCTGTAACCTGCTTGTCTCTCTCATGATAGTTTTAAGGTTTAAGCTGGACTGTGGAACATTCTAGACAAAGCAGTAGCATTTCCATGGAGACATCAGATTGTGGCCCCTCCACTAAAAATGTTACACAGTGCACCTTTAAAGTTGTGTTTGATCTTTTCATGTGGTGTACTTATATTAAAGGACATATTGTGCAAAATCTACTTTTTAGAGCTTTTAACCATGTTATAGTTGTTTCCTTCTCATTTACCCTGTCAAAATTATATTTGGAGTGATTCGTGCATGTTTGAGTCATCTTTATTCTTCTGTATTCCAATTTATCCCAGTTTTCACCACTACACGCCCACTGCTCTGTATTTACTTTATTCTCCAGTTGTATTTTCTTAATCGGTGATATATGTAGGTTTTGGCATGGTTTAGCAAAGTGACTCTTTATTGTGATGATGTTTACAGCGACATCAGCTCCCACTAGACTCTGTAAATTTTCAACCCAGAAATCAACACTTTTGTTTCTTTTATTAAGTTGTTTTAGGTCACGGTTTGCAATTTAAAATGTCCAAATTATAACATAATGTATCATATGATCGCTTTGACCAATCAGAGCGAGAGGAGCTAGAGCAGAGGAGAACAGAGCCGAAGCTAATGATTATAAAGCATTTTTAAGACAACTGAAGGATTTTGAGCTTAGAAAAAGTTTGTGGTATGAAAATAGGTAAAAATCACCACAAAATCCAACATTTTTGAAAGTTGTAGATGCCCTGTCAGCCGAACACGAGCAGTTAGTGATTACATTGTGTTCTGTGAGAAAAATCCTTTCTTGACCCAGGGGATTTTTTCCGCTGAAGTTCCAGTGAGTGTTACTACGTCAACTGGAGGCAGCTACAAGCAGCAACACCCTATCCAGTTATTTGAATAGATCCATGAATTATCCACGATTGTCATAGATTATAACTGTATAGCAGACACAAGCACAGTATGTCTTCTTTAAAAAATGTGTTTTGGTTTCTTGATGTTTTCTTATTTTGTTGAATGAGAGCCATAGTTTACTTTATTGAACTTTATTTTGTCTATTTGTTTAGTTAGAAAGATCTGAGTGGGCTCTCCATGGAACTAAAGGTAAAAGTTAGCTGTTAATTTGAAAGCTATTTTCAGCTTTGGGGATGCAGATGGACTAAAAATAAAAGATTACTCAAACATGTGTGAATGAAACAACACCACTCCAGGTGTGTTTTTGAGAAGATAACATTATAGCATGGCTTAAACCTCTCAAGAGTCCATTTTGTATGATACAGAGCATTTAATTTCTTGTCCACTGGCAGTAACCTAAATCAGGTCAATAGAAAAGGGAACAATTTGACTCATCTGCATTCATCAGAGCTTAATGTGCATTACCTAAATCTGTTCCACTGATATGATCTGTTCACTGTCCCTGATGACATTTGTGTAGTGACAGAAAAGGTCCCTGTCTGACATGTTTGCTAAGCCCTGTGGTATTTCTCTGCAGCTCTGATTGATGCAATGTTTTATATAAGGAACGTAACACAGAACGTGATCGTATACAGTTTGTAATGTCTGCTGGCTTAGTGTAAACATTCTGTACAGTTTGTAAGGTTACGTGTAAATGGACTTCAGGATTCGATATTTAGGATGACTATGCTAACTAGAGATGAACCGATACAGCTTTTTCAGTTTCAGTACCGATTTTGATACTATAGCTTTAAGTATCTGCCAAAAACATTTATTTCTTTAAAACTAAAATAAAAATAAAACTGATCCAAATTCTAACCAATCCAATAAAAGTTCAAATATTATGAGACTATGAGCATTAAATACTTCAATTATTTTGCTCAACCAAGATATCGGCTGAACTGATATAGGAAGCCAATATCCGATCCAGCTAATTTTTCAGTATTGGCGCCGATATCCGATACCAATATCATTATCTCTTATGTTAACACCTTTTGTGCTGGTTTTCTCTGGGCTAACAATGGTTTTCTACACTGTGATACTGAACTCTGTCCAAATATAAAATAAGGGCAGATAATTCAGATTTTGTGGGCTTATATGAAGAACAAGAGTTTGACTGCTTACAGAAAACTTTTACTTCCTCTGAGCCTTAGAAATAACACAGTTTGAGTTTTTCCAAGATTGTTGCATCAGAAATCCTGTGCAGTTTTAAGTCAATAAATCATCGCCAGACTAAGTCTGCCAGCATTTCTGCCATCAAATACTGTTCATTACAATTGCATGCTTAACATGGTGGTTATGTTGCTTAGTTTGTTTCAGATTTTTAGTTTTACTGGAGGAAGATTTGATCTGAATTGTTTTATAGAAAGAATATATACGTTGGCTTTGTGTTTGGTGCATTGTGTTTGCATGACCCGTTGTCCTGATGTATTTAGGTCTGTTACAATAATCACTATATAAATATATAACAAAATAACAATCACGATTTTGGTACTCAACTATCTACAGAACAGCTTTGTGTAAATAAAGATTCAGACAGCATCACTTTCTTGGCCAACTACGACCAGTAAATATTCTCATTACATCATTTTATATGTAAAACCTGAAAGCAGATATCCAAACCAGCAAATTTTGGAAAAGTCTGGATTGGCACCAGTATCGAATTGGTGAATCACTACTTTCAATGATTAGATGATTTTGCAGTTTAACTGTGTGATAATGATTTGAATTAGAATGTGCATGTAACCACAGCCATCATAAACAGTCTCAAACTCGATCTTAATCTAATCACACTATTTTTGTTGTAACATTTCGTTCTAATTATGGTGACAAACCTAGATACCTGTGAGCATGTGTGACATGAGAATGCTTTGTCTGTCCTCTGGATCAGTTTACACTTACCCCGCCCTCACCGTGTGCCCTCCCCCTCTTCCTCACTCCTCCCGTCACACCACAGTGCCCCCTTCTGCCCCGGAGGCCTGAAGGACCCCGCCCACAAGCCCATCGAGGTGACCGGGCCGGGGGGCAAGGCCACTATCATCCACGCCCAGTACAACACCCCCATCAGCATGTACTCCCAGGACTCCATCATGGACGCCATCGCAGGCCAGACCCAGGCCAAGGGGCAGGACATGGGGTAAGGCTGCACACTGCCCCACCCTCACACCCACCCGGTCACTGTCGCACTTTTGTCCTCTTCCTCCTCCTCCTTTTGTTCCCTGTGGAAAAATATTTCACTTGTGCTATTGTTGGTGTTTTTAGAATCAGCTCCAGTCATATCTGGTATAGCGCCGCAACAATTCATCACCATATTTGTGTCTGGTTAGTTTATTTTCTTATTCCAAGGATTTATAAGTAACAACATTGTTTTGCATTTTTGTTATTTTTTACGCACTTTGGTTATCCTACAGACTGATTTAGGTTGAAGTTATACTTATTTTGTCTACCTTGCCTAAATCAGGGGTCATCAAACTAAGACCCGTGGGCCGACGCCAGCTCACCATGCCCCTTTGACCACCCCCCAGCCCCTCTGCCCCCCACCACTTGAATTGACCCTAGGAGGCAATCCTCAAAAGCTGTCATGGCCTCTTTTAACTTTTTGGCAAATAATAACACACCTGCATCTTGTATTTTGTTGATTTTTCAATTAAAAATGTATATTTATATGAAGCATTTATATTTAAATAATTATGAGATATTTACATTTACCGCCAAATTTTTGTCATCTGACAAGCTTGAGATCAAACAGTGACAGTCAAAGCTCGTGCAGAGTTCTGTAGTGCAGGTAAGGACAGCAAAATGACTCATGTTAAAGTATGAAAACAGAGAATGCAGAGTTTTCAAAGAACAATCGACAACCGATTATTTTTTTGTTCAGTGTAAGGACTGTGCAGGTTGTCTGACAAGGCTTAAGTGAATTCTGTGTTTAATGTGACATTTTGCTTATAAATACACTTTTTTCTAGTACTAGTTTCTGTATAAATAATTGTTTTTGCATGAACTCTCCCTTCAGGGGTAGTCTTGTGAGTGCAGTTGTATAGAAAGTTATAGTTTTGAGAGCTTTTGATACGCCTCTTTATTGTAGATTATCTGTCGGATGTCAATTTCTTGGTCAAACTTTCATTTTTTATTTATTTTTTCATTCATTTAAGATTAATATAAAATAATGATGTTTCATACATCAGTGTGAATGAAAAGGAGCAGAAAGAAGTACAGACTTGTAATATCTACCCCCTACTGCAGTGATTGTTAATAGTTTGGACAATATTGAACCGTATGGGCAATACTGATTCAAAAATCTATGCCAAATTATGTTAGCACACAAAGCTGCATTGCAAAAAAAACAAGCATAAAGGCTTTTTTTCATCATTAGCGCAATTCATTTGTAAATATTTAGAGAAATATATTATAAATAAATAATGAATTAAGTATTTGACTTCTGACTAGTTGACTCTTAAAATAATGATGTTGGTTAAATATGTTGCAGCCCTATTGTGGTATAAATCTTGACTATTTGTAAAAGCTGATCTTGTCTTCCAATGAGGTTAATTTGGTCTTCATGGATTCTTTTTTCAGGCTAAAGTTTCGTTTTCATACCTGACAGAGTGGTCATGTGATGTCTGAAACTGTGAAATTTCTGTTTTTTGTTTCCTGTTTCTGATAGTAGACAGATGTTGAGACGTTGTGACTGGGCATTTGTTTGAAGCTGTGGCTAAATGTTATAATGGCTTTACTTTAAAGCGGACAGTTAACCTTTTGTATATTTGTTGGTGCCTTATACACACACATGGTTCTTAAATAGTTTTTGGTTGTGAAGTCTAATTCCAAACATGAGATGGTGCAGCTTGTATTTTCAGTTGTTTGTTCGTCTTTATTGCAAATAATCAGAAATAGTTGACAGCTTTGTTTGTAGAAGCCCTATTTACTAACAATCAATTTTCCATTTCCGCTGCAAAATTAGAACAGATGCATATGGACATTGCTTTCTATGAACAAATATTGCTCAGATCTATGTAATACAGGACAAACACAAGAGTGACATTTACCTCATGTGTACAGGTCTGTCTCATCCCTCGTCTCTAAATGACACTTAATGACACAGTATTTTTGGTCAAACATAAATAGTCTTTATACATTGGACAGCTGAATGTTCTGGGTGTCTTTTTCTCTTTTTAAATGTCATTTGTACTTAAAGGAACTGTATGTAACCTGTGCTCTTACAGTTTTTGTTTTGTTTTGTTTTTATTTTACAATCACAACTGAATTTGTGTTGCCAGTGTGAAATCTCAGAACCTCCAGAATTCACTTACTAAGCTGAGCTGAGTCATAACTGGCTGTAGACGACAATTCATAGCAGAAAGAGTCTTTTTAGGGTTTAACCAACTGGATTTCAGCATTAGAACAACAGCAACCCAACTGCTTTCTGATTGGATAATGATCTTGAGAACCAAATCACCAAATTATGACAAACAACTTAGCCGTCATGTCCAAAGTTTTTTGTAATTAAGAATAAATCAGCATCACAGTTGTTATCAGTAAAAGCTATATTTGATTTAAACAGGTTTACCTTGTATCTAGGGGCACCTATAGGTCAAGTTTAAGGAATTTAAAATTTTACATACAGTTCCTTTAAATTCATTGTATTTCATTATTTACAGTCACCTTTTTACCTGGACTCTGTTACAGTACCTCATATCACGCCAAGTCCAACATATTGTTGTTTTCATTCATTACTCTTTGATTACAAATGTTTACCTGAGTTCAAATGACGTTCGAAGCCCATTGCGCGCTGTGGACGCTGTGGTGCCTGTTGTGACTTGGTTTGGTGTGTTGTGGCGCCCTCTTGTGTGTGCCTACAGTATAGCACCCCTTGTAGAGAGCGTAGTAGACAGCAGCTCCGCGGTGTACCAGGCGGTGCTGAATGCAGACAGGGACCCCGAGCAGAGAGAGTGGGGCCGGCGCACCTCCATGCCCCAGTCCAGAAGCTTCCAGGCCCTGGTGCACCTCACAGGGACTGACTCAGGTAAGGACCACTGCTCACTATTGCTTTTCACTCAGTTCTTGAGATAAACAGAGACAAACATTATTATCAATTTAATTTTATACAAAGATTTTGATTTAGAGTATATCTCAGAATGCTTGTGTAATAATTGGTTTTAATTTAAAGAATTTATTGCAGACTTCCTTAGTTAACTGTTTTTCAGTCATTTCTAGAGACAACAGTGGCTATATTCACATGCACGGCAAAATTTGATTATTATGTCTGATCTTTGGCCGTTTCAGATTGTTTAAATTATATGCAAAACGGAAACTCTGATGTAAGTGATCAGAGGTACCATGATCTGACACACAAAAAAAAAAACTTGACGATTTTCCAGTGTATATGAAATTTTAATAAACTTATTACACAAAAAATAGATAATAATTAGATATAGAGTGCATGTAACCGCAGTCAATGTTGGAAAGTGTTTTGGAGTAGGAATGTGTTATTGCAATGAGAAATCTCTTTCTCAAATCACAGTTCAAGTACTAAATGAATTTCTTTTGCACTAGTATTTATGATTTCATAATTCTGAATATAAGCACAACCTTTCTGATGGATGATCCCCTACGTGCTTGTCTCCACAAATATAACTAGAAATTTCTTTGTCTGGAATGCTCCATAGTATGGCATTAAACATACCTAATTACCTTTATTCAAATAATGATGTTTTCAATAGCAAAAAATACCTTATATACAGTATACTTTCATACTGTGAGCAGGGTCACCTCTCCACAGATCTGACCTGTAACTTCTAGTCTCCACTGTGATCTATGTATGTACTCTCTACTATGGAACATTAAGCAATAACATCTTTACGACGACATGCAGGTGGTGGATCCTTCATCAGAAAATGTATTTTTTTTTTAAAACAAAACTTTAAAATATGGTTTATTGACACCTGTGACTATGACCATAAAATATTTGAATGATCCCTTTAAACCATAAGATTCATTACAAGTTCCTAATTAATGACCACCATTTACTGTTAAAATATACAACTGCAGTCAAAAGAACAAGTCGTGAGTCTCCCTTGCATTTTGTGTTGCAGTGGGCGATGAGGAGGAGCTGCAAAGGAGCAGGTAGGAGGCAGTTCTTCTGACCTGTCCTCCTCCCCTTGAAGATCTCACCACCTCCACCACCTCCACTTCCTCCACCATCATCACCCCCTCCTCTGCCTGATCACTCCACCAACCACCCCCTCACCATGCCCCCAGTCTGAGCCTGTCCGCACAGCCTCACTGTCACTGGGTCTGAATTAAGTGGGCCCCAAGTCTTACACCATGGCACTTTATTGCACTAAGATGCAATACGCTTTAGGTTCCACAAGAGGGAGCTGTCATAACACTAAATCTCCACTGGTTACGTTTGCATGAGCACCAAAAATGACCACTGTTGGAATGTCATTTACGGCTGATGGGAGAGGGCTGTTGGCTTGAATAGTCCACTAAAAATGGCTGTGGAAAAAGCTCTCAAAACTATTACATATGTCTGTGTTTCTGACCCAAACTGCACTCACAAGACTACACCTGCTTGGGAGTTGTGTGTATTTATATAAAGACAGATTAAAATTGTGAATCATGAGTTTAATCTGACTTTTTACACATAAATACTCACTTGCTCACTCACTTCTCCTTTACGCTTTTGTCCCATGAGGATCACTTGTACTGTAAACTCACACATTAGTTTATCTGGTTATTAAGTACTATCTGATTTTGACCAGCTATATAAATGTACCTACTGACAGTCTGTTTTAAAGTCTGTATAACTTTTTACATAATTCATGGTTATGGAGTATGAATCTTTTCTTTAACTGTCTAGGAATTGCTTTTTTGTATTATACTTTTTCTGTCTACATTTGTGAACATTTATACAGTAGGGACAATTGATAACCTGTTGCTTAAACTCAAATAATTGGAAACTTTAGCCAGATTTGCATCTTAAAATTTATGTTTTCTTCATTCTATTGTTTATATTATGACACAAGATAACTGGAAAATTGAATACTTAAAGGTCCTATATTACACTAAATGGATTTTGTGAGCTGTTACCTCGCACCTGAAGTTGTGTTTCATTTCATTCACAAATTTTTCACTAATCCTACATTATTAGTCTCCAAAGATCAAAATGCTTTGTTCCACCTTGTGATGTCATGTAGTGGTCGTTTTCAAGGTAACAGCTTCCTTTTACTTTTAGTTCTGTAGTAAAATATAAATGTTAATAATAAATTCTAAATTAGTAGGAAAAAAGAAAGCAAGAGACTGATGTCAAATAAGACATAATAAAAAAAAAGAAAAGAAATAAGACATAAAAAAAATAAAATAAATAAGACATAATTATATAAATGTAAATGTACAAGTCAAAATAAAAATGCAAAGAGTCATAAAATATAAAATCACAGCTTTATAGAAGAGGTCATAGGAAGACAGTGCAAGAATGATATGATAATTGACAGGACATAGGGTTATCCGTTACGTAAGGGGAGTTGGTATGAATGTAGTCATGTATTTCTCACTGTAAGAGCCTTTTGCAAAAACACAGTGGAGCACTTCCTGTATTACCACAACACATCACAAAGTGGAACAGAGGAGAAGAACTCAGCCTAAATATGCAGGATTTGTATGTTCAACATGAGTGAATGAAACAAAACACAGCTCCAGATATGTTTTTGATGAAGAAACCGCATTATAATATAGCTCAGAAAACAGTGTAGTATGGGCCCTTTAAGTGTATGCCTTTAATAGCATTTCCCATAACACAATCTTACATTTTACATAATCCTGAATAGACATTTCTGTAAAAGCCACTGTAATTGAATACACATATGGTCATAGCGTATGTCCTTCTATCCTCCGCCCTCCCTCGCTGCCCTGCTCTCCGCTACTCCCTCGCTCCCCCTCTCCCTGATGGATGGAGCTTTCTCTATTTCTGCACACTTATTTAATCACGGCCCCATTATGCACAATCGATAGGGCGGACCGCTGTATCTGTGGGGACTGAAACGCAAGTGGATGGGCCCCTCCCCCCGCCCGGGCCCCTGCTCCTGTCAGGCTGCATATGTCCACCAATGACTCACGTGGAATCA